ATGGAAAGAGCATCTCAAGACGCAGGGGGGGGGGGCTTAATAGTTTATTGTGAAGGTTTCACATATTTTCGTTGTTTCTATTCCAAAATACAGTCATGATAAAGTGATTAAGCATTGAATCTCATAACAAATAATAACGTTCGAATTTTTGCTTGATGTGTAACAGAGGTCCAAACAGGACTCGTTTTTTAGGCCTGTCAGGTCTGTCAAGTTTTTCGAGCGAGTACAATACTGATGACAGACTAGAAACCATATATCCAAAGAGGGCACTAGGTCTATTACTCAACCCGATTCTGACCCGACTGTCATAGGCATCACCCATGGTTTTCCGACTAGTGAAAGTCAGAGGTTCAAGCAATTTTTGGGCTGTCTGGGCCTGTCACTTTCATTAGTCAGAAAACAATGGGTGATGCCTATGACAGCTGGGTCAGGATCGGGTTGAGTACCCTCTTTGGATATATGGTTTCTAGTCTGTCATCATTATTGTACACACTCGAAAAATTTGACAGGCCGTACAGGCCTAAAAAACGAGGCCTGTTTGGACCTCTTATGTGTAATTTCTGATTAAAATAAAAACCTCTTATTTCATTCAGATTTCTAATTCACGATTTGTTTTTTTTTTGCGTATTTAGTATCGAACAAATCAATAAAGAAATACATGAACTTAGTGGTACAAATGATACATTAAATCGAATGATGTCTAAATTGAATACTGAAAAGTGTGTAAATTATTTTATTAAAATAATAAATAAAACATAATCATATTTTATTAGAACATCAATAGAAACTGATTTACGTGTTGAAAAAGAATTTCATCAACGTCTTCAAGAAGCATTAGCAAATGAAAAAGAAAAAGTTTCTACACTTCATTTTGATATTCATGAATTAAATTCAATAGAACAAGTAAAATTTTCATAGAATAATTTCATTATTATTTTTGTGCTAATAAAATTTAAGGAATATGATTCATATAAAAAAGAAATGATTAAAAAACAGAATGATTTAGAAAAAAGATTTCATGAACAAGAAGAAACAGTACGAGAATTAGGCTTAAAATTAGAAGGATATATTAAACGTGAAGATGAATTTCGTGAAAAAGATGTTTTACAAACATCAACATGGATGAAAGATGAAGATGTTAAAGAATGTTGTCAATGTAAAAAAGATTTTAATGCACTTCGACGAAAACATCATTGTCGAAAGTAAGTTTGTTTTTTTTAAATCAAATCATATAAAATAATAATCTTCATTTAATTAAAGATGTGGTCAAATATTTTGTGAAGCTTGTGTTTGTACAAAATTAACATTAGTTGGTTCAAATAAACCAGTACGTGTTTGTGATATGTGTTGTACACGTGTACTTGCACAATGTGTAGTGAATAATCCATGAATGAAGAAAAACAAAAACAAAAATCGCAATAAAAATAAAGTGCAATTATGATTTTTATTTTTTGTATTTATTATTTATTTTCTATTTATATTATAATTTTTTTTCTTTTTGTGTTTCGTAATTTATTTAATGACCGCTCAATTTTACTTCTACACTAAAACAAAAAAAAGAAATGATTGTTTTTTTTTCTATTGTCACTCGGCGAATTTTTAAAGATAATTTTAGTCAACATTTTGTGATATAAATACTATAATATTTTTCAGATATCATTAACAAGCAAAACAAAGCTCGATGGTTATATTCACTCACCGTATTTTAATTAATTTCTCACAAAAAATGGAATTTTAATTAGTATATTTACATTAAAGTATGTCTAATTTTCAAGATTTTGAGCTGAAATAACTAAAGTCAACATATAAATTCTGACCTTTTAAAACTCTCTTTTAATAAAAAGTCTTAAAATTCAAAGAGATATAATAGAAGGAAACGTAGTCTTTTGTTTCAGTGAGAAATTTCAATTCTCAAAATAACAATTTCTTTTGATTGTATAGGATGATTGAACATATATTCGAGCTCTCTCTCTACAACAGTTTTCCATTGAATTACATCAATTTTAAGAAAAACCTCAAAATCCTTTTTGTCTAGTTTCCAATAGGAAGTGGCGAGAAAAAAAACCACTTTTACAGTTTTTTTCCTATTGGAGACAAATTAGATTCTTTATGTTTGTTACCATTACGCAAAAAAAAACATTGATATTATATCTGTATGATAATTTAGCTTATTGAGAACATTTATAATCATTCTAATTCTTGTACATTTTTATGTGATTTATAAAGCAAAATATATAAATGAGTTATTAATCATTGAAAAAGATGATAAGGAAAAACGTCAGTTGGTCGCATGTTTGACTAAAGAAATGACTCTTAATTTACTTTCTACAAACTTCAATTTCCGGACGTGTGATTCAATAAGACACAGTACCAGGTCAGGATACGACTGGCATGTGAAAAAAAAAGAAGATTTACCCCATGGAATGAATTCTTCGATGATCTCGCTGGTAAACAGTAACTGAATGTTGATATTCATATTTTGAACTTATCGAAATGTTACAAAAAGTATATTCATTGTCAAATAGTGAAAATTACAGCAGATCGAAGCTCGAAAATAAGGAAAAATTACATCTCTATAATGCTAAGAATTTGTTTTTCAACAGTACGACTAATTATCATAGACGTGTCAATTAAAAGTACAACTATTCATTTACATGAATTGTTTTTTGTTTATTTGTAGATAATTATTTTTAATTTTTTTTATTGAAAAACAGAAAAATGCCAACTGCAAAAGATGATCTTCCTGATTTTCGTGAAGCATTCAGTTTATTTGATGATCGTGGTGATGATAAAATTCCAAAAAATCTATTCGGTGAAGTTGTTCGAGCCCTTGGATTAAATCCAACTGAAGCACAAATTAAAGGTACAATACAAAATTTAAAAACTGATCGAATATCATTTGAAGAATTTTTACCTTTATATGATTCATTGGCGAAAAAAAAAGATAATAATATGACCGAAGAAGAACTTATTGAAGGTATGATTTTTTTATATAATTAACAAAAATAAATAGAAATTAATAATAATAACTCATTTTATCTCAGGTAGTTTAGGAAATAGTATTTTATCGTATATATTGTCTAAAAATTATTGTTTATCACGCCTAAAACATTATTTCAAAGCAGAAAAGACCAAGTAATTGCCTCTCATAAATGGCATCGAAATGCTATTTTATGTATATAATCATCGCATACATTTAATAACGTTTCAATGTCGTTTATGAAGATCAAACTCTTACTATTCTCTGTTTTGAAACAGTGTTTAGGTGTCATAAATGATATTTTTGGGCGATATATATGCGGCAAAATGCTGTTACTTAGACTATCTGGAAATAAGCATAAATTCTGGTCACAGTCAACTAAAAGGGCAAGATTAAATTGTCTGAGTAGAAAATTCAATAACAGAATTTTATGGTAGAAATTTTACCTTTGAGCCAAAAAAAAACTAAAACAGTAATGGCACTATACAACGTTTTGAAAACGAGCATTGCCATTAGTAGAAATATTGAAAAAATGCATTCAATTAATGTGTATAGTCGTTGGTAGAGACCTGCGGAGGACTCCGAAACCCGATTCCAACTCCGACTCCGTCGGAGTCGGGTTTGCTGAAAAAAATTTTTCGGGTTCGGAGTCGGAGTCAGTTACAAGTTCGACTCCGATATTTTTTTTTCGATTTACCAAAACTTAATTTTTAATATTAGTAAATAGAAAAATAAAGCGTAATATCTGTCACATAGATTTATATCACTTGTAGGACAGAAAGATGAGCGAATCACTTTCCAGTTATAACACTCGAATGATCAAGTGAGATGAAAAC